TATATATATATAAGTATTATACATTAGATTATATTAGTAAAAATAAAGAACTCGTTTATATGTTTATATTTTACAGGCCACTGGTTTCTTACAACAACCAATACCGTATAACAGTTTCTACGTTGAGAAATATGCCGTTGGTAGATTGGGTACAACGTATAAAAGTTGTTTAAGATTATATCTACGCAATGGTTCATTATTATTACAAGCGAATGATTCATATACCAGGGACCAGTGGTATCATTCCATTAATTGGAAGGTACATAATATCAAAATGATTAACATTTAAAAATATTTATTGTCAAACTTAATATAATGAAAATGTTTATTATCTCGTATAATAAAAATATGATTTTTTCAGAAAAGTCTTCACCAATTTAAATGCAAATCATCTGTCAGTACAGAAAACATAGCAGTACGGGAATTACGTTTAATGGTTGAGTTTGCATTGTCGACACCACTTCAAGACGAAAGAGTAGCAGCTGCAGCTATGGAAGCCGTAGCTAAATTATTGGAATCACCTTGGGGTTCTAGATCATTGATAGAACAGCAAGAGGAGGAGGAGGAGGAAGAAAAAAAAAAAGTTGAAGTAACTAAAGAAGAGGAAGGTAGTTGGGCTTTGTTCATATTACCAGTTGCTGCACCACTCTTAGAAAGGGCTGCTCCACCCGCTGCATTAGCTCGTGTATTAACTAGATTAGTTCGACAACATCCTAAATTTAGTTTAGTCAAGTATTTAGCTCCGGCTGTCACAAGGTGCCTCAAACATACCGTTGATTTTGGCAAGTCTCCGGATATGAGAAAACTCTTGCAAGTATTTGTCGCAGCACTTTATGAAAGTAATGAGGGTAACGAAGGTGAAAGAGCTATCAGAGAATATATTGCTTCGGTTCATGGTCCTGGAAGTGATTGTCCTCATCCAAGAGTATTACCCAATTTGGTTTCGGTCTGTGTCGCTGCTATATTTCATAGGTCGGTTATATTATTATACTTATCATTCTTATATACACAGAAGTTTTAAATACAATAGTATTTATTTATTTATTTCACTTTATTATTCCCCAGATTCGAAGATAGCAATGTAAGCGAGAATAATAAACCGTTACCACCACTCGATTGTTATCTTTTAGTTTTAAACGTAGCGTAAGTTTCATTATATTTCTTCGAGATAGAAACATTATTTATCTATATTAAAATCGCAAATTTCTATACAAATATATTATTTTGTTTATCACGCGTAGCTCAGAGTATGCCGATTGGAGACCTGGTTTAGCCGGTTTGTTACAACCTGTACCATTTCCCGAAGAAGCTCTCACCGTTAAAGAAGTACAGAAGTCAATTCTTAGCCGTGCAATACGACGTTTGGCTAAAGATTCCAGATGTACGGTTCATCAAGTTCTACTTCCGGTTAGAGAACCACGACCTGGTTGGCTTCACATAGCTGCACCATCTAGTCCAGCTTGTCCCGATCGTGGTGAACTTTTTGGTGAAATGGTAAGGGAATTAATTTTTCATTATCTTTTAATAAAAATAAAGAAATGATTTATCAAAATAATATCCAACAGCTAACTACACTCCTGGCATGTTGTTGTCGAAGAAAAAGATTTGTCGGTTCGTTGATGAAACAAGCCAAAGACGATTGTATTCTTCTTGCTGTCAGAGGATGCGGTGCTGCTCAAGAAGCACTTTGCCTTATGCTCGAGTGGCGTCTACTGCCAAACGAAGAAGCTAGGCTTCAGATAGTCAATGCCCTCGAATCTACTTCCTCTGGTAAAACTCGTTATGCTGCGCTCTGTCAAAGACAAAGGAATTTACAAGAATTGGTAAGATTTGTTCATATATTTTTACATATCTCATTTATTCATTTGTAAAATGTTGATTATTTATTTGTCAGATATTTTATTTTAACGCAATAATTAGGTATTTACTATATATATAGTAAATAACAATTAGGTCATATATATATAGTATTAATAATTAGGTATTTACTATATATATATATATATATAGTAAATAACAATTAGGTTATATATATATATAGTATTAATAATTAGGTATAGTTAATAATAATTAGGTATTTACTATATATATATTTAATCAGCACAACTTACAAAGTTTTTTACAATGTCTTATCATTATTTCACTTATATTTATCTCACATTTTTGGTTTATTCTTAACTCACCCCTCGTCTACCCAATAATTATCATCAATCTTAAAATAAAACTATCATTAGGTATTTACTAATAACATCTTCTTCTTCTTTTTTTTTTTTTTTAATATCGATTCAACAGCAACAAAAAGGTGGTCCAAAAAAATTAACGCTTCCAGTAAGAGCAACAGATGCTGACGTTGCTCTCCTTCTTGGTGGACGTGCATTAGGTAATTTAGAATGTCTCAGTTTAGCGTTTACATCGGTTACATCTGCCTGTGCCGAACAGTTGATCAAACTACCAGCATTGAGGTATTTGAACCTCTGGGCTACTCAATTTGGAGATGCCGGATTGCAAATGATCAGCGAACACTTGCAAAAATTGCAGGTATTAAATCTATGCGAAACACCGGTCTCCGACAAAGGCATCTCTACTTTAGCTTGTAAGTATTATTATTATTATTATTATTATAATAACAATGATAAAAAAGAAAACCATAAAAAAACCATATACCATTCTTAAATTCCCTTTTTCTTTTTACATTTCCAGCTCTGACCAATTTGAGAAAACTTAATTTAAACAGCACCAAATTATCAGCTCAGACTTTTGAATCGTTGAAGAAAAGATTACCGGCTTTGCAAGAATTTGATGTTCGTTATACGGAAGCATGGTGACCAGAACCAATATCGGGTCTGAATCATTAAAATACATACATTTATTTGAGGTTGTGAAGAAAGAGGGAACATGTAAAAGATGTTAGAAAATGCGTGCTAACTTGACGAATAGAAAAATTATTCATTTTCATTAAGCGAAAAGAGAGGATCAATTTGTTATCGTTATAATATATTCATGAAAACAAATTCATATTATTTCATGAAATAATTAATTATATATATGAAATAATTATACCGAGACCAGTTAAAATATGTGAAATAAGATAGAATTACATACATTACCAAAGTAATATATAAATTGAATTAGTAATTAAAGTTTTATGTATCAAATGAAATTTGATACACAGATTAGATCCAATAGAACAACAGGACTAATAGAATATAGGTTTACAAAGTACAAGAAGTTATAAGAACGAATAACTTCGAGTATTGTATTGATTATTTTAAAAATAAAAGAGCAGACTTTATTAAACGCGGATGAAATTTCAATTGAATATTTTAATTATTATTTACTTCTCGTTAATTCATATATTATTTAGTTATTTCATTAATTAAACGAATTGTGTATACTTTAACGGTAACAAATTTATACCAAATTCGCTTCTCTTTCTCTCTCTCTTTCTCTATCTTTCTATTTTATTATTATCTTTGGACTTTTGAAATGGTCTTATCTAAAACTTAATCATTCTTACGTCATATTCCTCTTATTTTCTAAACTTTAATATATATATATATATACATACGTACGTAATACATAATACATAATAATAATACTCTTTGGATCGATGAGATCGATCATTGAGAACATTTTTCTTTTATTTATCAGAGATATTAAATAAGAAACCAAAAAAAAGTAATACATATATACATAGATACACCCACGCATCACATACTACACACGTACACACGCACAATGATATGAAATTGTTGATAAAAGAAGTCATTCTATAAATGGCTTTTATATTATTACATATCACAGCTGCCGTTTCCACGTTGTTAAATACCAAAAGGAGAGAAAAAGAAACCAAAAAAAAAAGAAAAGAAGCAACAACAACAACAACAACAATAACAGCAACAACAAAAACAAAATAAATGAAACGAACGTGTGGCGATAAAATTTCTGATTCCTCTCTCTCTCTCTCTCTCTCTTCCATGAATAATATAATAGTAACATAATAATAATAATAATAATTATAATTAAAGAAACTATGTTTTTTTAATCCTTTCGTTTCGTTTGCACCATATGAGGGTCGCTAGTAACGAAAGGTTTAAATCGCATAATTTCCTACAAGAAAAACTATCTCTTATATAAATATTATATATACAGTCAAACCTCCTTTAACGCGGTAAGTGCGTTCCGCGTTATATGGAAACCGTGTTATAAGAAATTCGGATTTAACCGTACAAACCAAGCTAATTCGTAGCGCGTTGTATGGAAACAGCGCTATAAGAAACACAGATTTTAGTACAAATCACATCATTCGTACCGCGTTATATGGAGACCAAAAA